TTTGCAATCTTAATGCACAAAAACACAATATATTGCCCAATTGCTTGTTAGAATATAAAAGATGATGTTACACTAAGTGAATAGATACCAAACATGGCATGCTTTAAATTTGTGCATGCCTGGGCAACGGAGATAAACTACGTGCATTTTTAATATCAATAGACAACACTTTAAAAACCTTTACAGGTCAGCACTTTATATTTACACAGAAGGTCTGGTGCTAGAATTACTGTTCTCGATCTGACATTCGCGGTGATACTTCACATGCATGGTGCAATCTCTGTTTGCATACTAACACGGGACTGACCCTTGCCCAAGATGTATGTTTACCAGTATGTTGCTGGTCAGCGGGGAGCACAGGCTGGTCCTCACCCCAAAATAGAAAACATAAAGTAAGTAAATTCTCAATACAGTATTTTTTATTTTATTTTTTGTATTATTATTATTTAAAAAAGAACTTTTATCATAGTACAATGTTACCATACCATTTTTTACACTTTGCAAGATAAATAAAGATTATTGCTCTGCAATGCAAAGCTTGCTTTGGACTGTCATGAATGAGTTCAAAATAATAGTGATCTGTGATTAGCTGGAGCTGGTCATATGGTACAGGGTACTGTGATTGGCCCCATGTATTATGCGAGATCTGTAAGCCGATCACAGCACACCAGGAAGAGAAGCAGAGCTATTATGAATCAGATGATTTATAACAGCTTTGATAACATTGTGATAGCGATCACATGATCACCAGGTCCCGTTCACTGGGATCTTCATTCTGCTGTGATTGGTTGACACAGCAGTCGCGGGTGGGGAGTGGATGGGGAGTGCTGCACTCCCGTTCGGGTACACAGTGCCCCCCTGTGTTACTACAGCTAGAGTGACGTACCCATATGTTGCTTTGCCTGTAGCTGCCGCCCATGCACAGTACATTGTGGGCGGGCAATCGTATAAGTACTAAATTGGTACCTTGCTTTAGAAATATTCAAATCTCCACATTACCTAACATCTAGATAAATTTTAAAGCTGAAATCCAGACAATTAGCTGAACACATAGGTGAGATACATATATGGCAGCTCTTTCATTTGCCAACATGTGTGTATTTCTGTAAATCTAGTCCTGAGATTTTCACAGCTCTGCCACACAACAAAGCCCTGTCTGATTTTTCTTTGCTATAGTTAAAGATTATGTAAACCTAACATTTCATATTCCTGATATGCACCTGCTGTACCATGTACTTGTATGGAAAAGTATTCTGTTCTCTTTGTATTGCTTCCTTTGTGTGAAATCCCTGATGTTCCTGTCAGTCCTTCTACTTTCCTATTAAAAAGTGACCATATTAAGCATGAGAGCACAGCATGGTCAGTTCTCTTGCTCTGCTGGGAACTCAGTCTGCTCTCCTCCAATGAGCAGGCTTCTACTCCCCCCCCCCCCACACTGCATAGCCATACCTTGGGAAGTTCAGTGTGCTGCTGTTGTCCTTTCCCAGCTCTCTATTCCCAGCTGCATAAAGAGCTAAGAGGGTATGTGATCAGTTATAAAACAGGAAAAAAATCATTTACAATATTTTTTATATATCTATATACAAATGTTTTGCCATTCATTTCTATTTTAAACTGAATAGGTTGTTTTTGAAGGGCAGGGTTTACATATACTTTAAGTAACACTGAAGGTCCTGTTACAGGACAGTGAAAGGAGAACAAGCAAACTGATAAACTCTCTCAGTCACTCTTCTCTCTCCTATCAACATGTTATTAGCACATGAGCACTGCAGCACAATGGATTGGCGCCCATCCATAATTTGAGCTCTGCTGAACAGGGATTGCAATAGGCTACTACCAAGTCAAATTCAGGCCTTATGCTGCTTGCAAAAAAAAAAAAAAAAACATTATTAATCAAAGCTACATTGATTTGGGTATTGTACATCTTCCTGAAGTTTAGCTTTAGATACTTTTTTACACCAAATTAATAATTTTAGATAAAGAGAATCCTTGCAAGAAGCCACAATCAATGTTTATCATTAAGTAACTTATGAGCGGGCAAAAAACTGATTACTTGTTGTTCCATGTGATGGTACAATGTGTTTCAATAGCTGAACATGTCCTTATTTAGCTATTACTTTGATGCTGGGTCTCTCCATCCTTGACTGCCTTGTGTTACAGCTGTATTAACTGCTGTCTCACAATCAGGATTTTGTCCTTGATATACAATATATGTATTTTGTTTACATAATCTAGCTCCGTGAGTCATTTTATTTCTCCAGCTCTTTGGCTTTCTGCATGCATATGTTATGTTATTTTGCAAAATGTAAATATTATAATGCGCACTTTGTCTTAAGGCATGAATTTTATGTAAAATGTCAATTTCAGCTCTCTCTCCATTTTCTTGTCATTTGGCATACAAACACATTATCCTCTCAAGTACCCAAAAAGAAAGTCCATTTTCTTAGTTTTACTATAATCCACTCTCTCTTGAGTCAATGTTCCTGCAGTAGAGCCATGAAAATCACAGATACCCTACTTAACTCTTTTGCTACAAAACAAAATGCATACTGTTATCAATTACATATGAAAAATATAAACAAGAACTGAATATAATTGTTCAAAACATCAGTAACAAATGGGAGGGGTAAAGAAATAAGATACATAAAGCTTAACTTCATCATGCAAATATAAAAAGACACATTTTAATAACTTTAATGAATGCTTCTAAGTCTGTTGTGATTTGACCTTAAAGCCCAAAGCCTAGTAGACATGGGGAGTTTTGTATGTTCAATACAGCGGGCTGAATAAAAAAACTGAGAGGTTGCCGTACTAACTAAGCGATGTTAGTGCGGCAATCTCCCCCACTGAGCTATTGTGTTCTGACAGGGGGACCAGAACCTGCCCTCCAGAACACACTGATCAGCGCTCACAGTCATTGTGTCAGGAATGGACTGGCCAGTAATGGTGGGACTCACCTGCCTTGTGGGCTGCAGTACCAGGGCTGGCCAGCGGGTGCTCCCCAGCAATCAGAGACTCAACCCTGCAGCCAGCCAAACACCTGAAACTGCTTATGCAGGTGTATTTAAGTGATGGCCAGACCTGCAGTCTTTGCCTTGGTGTGTGTGTTTTTTCCTGGGCCCTGTATCTTGTTCCTGCATTCCTGTTCCTGTCTCTGTCTGATTTGTTGCTGACCCTGCCTGATTCCGGACCTCTGCTGACTTCTCCTGTTTCATCCCTGGCTTGTGACCCCGACCATTCTCTGCCTGACCCCCTGTACCTACCTGCCCGATTGTTATTGACCCGGCCTGCCTGACGACGCTTGCATTGTATATATTGTTATCTGTGGGTGGTTTGGTTTGGTTTGGTTCGTTTGCACTGTGTTATGTTTTAGTATTGCACTGTGTTTATGTTTGTATTGTTAGTCTTTAATAAATTGTCTTATTGTTTATAACATATCTGAAGCCTGCGTTTCCCTGCGTCAGTCACATACCTCTGGTCACACCCCAGAGCCCTGACATTACACCAAGGCCAATCCTGACCAGAAGTGGCTGCACAGGGAAGCCATCTTGGCTTGTTGCTGGGAAGGATGGATCTTGATGAGGTTGTGTATTTATCTCTGCTAGTGTTTGATGACAGAGAGTATGCTTATCCAACTCTGAAGGAGTTCTAGTAGATCAGGGCACAGAATTCTCTGAGGTGCAGCCATTGATTCAGGTTTGTGCTGAGTTGGTTTCATCTGGTACCCCCGAATGCAGGGATGAATTTTTGCCGCCATTTAGTGCAGACCAGGTAGAGTCCCTGGTATGGTTATTAGAGGATGATGTGGATTACTTCTTGGAGCATTATGCTGCATGTTCACCACAGGTATTAAGGGATTGTATAAACGCAGTGCAGTCTTTGGTCAGACAGGCTTTGTGTAGGCGGAGCTTTGTTCAACCCATACTGCAGACATGGTCAGACTTGTTGCACTCAGCCTCAGTCAGCTTGCAAAAACCCAGTCCTGCTTCAAATCTATTTCTTCAAAGCTCTATTCCTGCTTTCCCAACAGCACCTCCAGTTACAGCCCAGTATACCCTGCTCTCTCTACCGCATGTCAGTACCCTGTTCCCACTCGCTGCACCTATCCTGCCTTTAACCCTGTAAAGAAGCCCTCTGTAGCAACTGTTCCCTCCCCTGTTCCATCCTCCAGCTCTTCTCTGTCTCCAGCTGCTCCATCCATTTACAAACCTGCGCTTACTTACAGTACTCCCGGTAACTAAACCAAGAAAAGGCGAAAGTTCTTTCCAACCAATACTATCCTGCCAATATCCAAACCGGTCTGCCTCCCATCTGAGAACCTGCCTTCCATGGTGCAGCCTGGTGCCTCGGCACCCACAATTCAGCCTGATGCCTCTACCCAGCCTGATGCCTCCATTCAGCCTGATGCCTTTATTCAGCCTGATGCCTCCACCCAGCCTGATGCCTCCACCCAGCCTGATGCCTCCACTCAGCCTGATGTCTCTACCCAGCATGATGTTTCTACCAGCCTGATGAACTGATCCAGCCTGATGATCCTATTATGCCAGATGACTCGGTGCCCGCTGTTCTGCCAGTTGACTCGGTGCCCGCAGTCTTGCCAGATGACTCGATGCCCGCTGTTCCGCCAGTTGACTCGATGCCCGCTGTTCCGCCAGTTGACTCGATGCCCGCTGTTCCGCCAGTTGACTCGGTGCCCGCAGTCTTGCCAGACGACTCGGTGCCCGCAGTCTTGCCAGATGACTCAGTGCCCACTGCCTTGCCAGATGACGCAGTGCCCGCTGGCGAGCCAAATGACCTGATGCCTGGTGACCCAGTGCCCGCTGTCATGCCTGGTGACCAGATGCCCGCTGTCGTGCCAATGGACTCAGAGCCCACTGTCGTGCCTGGTGACTCGGTGCCCACTGCCTTGGCAGATGACGCGGTGCCCGCTGTCATGCCTGGTGACCCGATACCCGCTGTCGGGCCAGACGATCCAATGTCTGACCCAGTGCCCCTGGTCATGCCAGTTGACTCGGAGGCCACTGTCGTGCCTGGTGACTCGGTGCCCACTGCCTTGCCAGATGACGCAGTGCCCACTGGCGAGCCAAATGACCTGATGCCTGGTGACCCGATGCCCGTTGTGGTGCCTGATGACCCGGTGCCCGCCGCCCCACCTGGGGGCCCGGTGTCTGCCGCCCCTCCTGGGGGCCCGGTGCCTGCCGCTCCGCCTGGGGGCCCAATGCCTGTCGCCCCGCCTGGGGGTCCGATGCCTGTCGCCCCTCCTGGGGGCCCGGTGCCCGCCGCTCCGCCTGGGGGCCTGATGCCTGTCGCCCCTCCTGGGGGCCCGATGCCTGTTGCCCCGCCTGGGGGCCCGGTGCCTGTCACCCCACCTGGGGGCCCGATGCCTGTCGCCCCTCCTGGGGGCCCGGTGCCCGCCGCTCTGCCTGGGGGCCCGATGCCTGTCGCCCCGCCTGGGGGCCCGATGCCTGTCGCCCCGCCTGGGGGCCCGATGCCTGTCACCCCTCCTGGGGGCCCGATGCCTGTCGCTCCGCCTGGGGGCCTGATGCCTGTCGCCCCGCCTGGTGGCCCGGTGCCCGCTGCTCCGCCTGGTGATCCGGTGTCCAGCTCGATGTGCCTCTGCCCGGAGTCCAGCTCGATGTGCCTCTGCCCGGAGTCCAGCTCGATGTGCCTCTGCCTGGAGTCCTGCCTGATGTGCCGCTGCCCGGAGTCCTGCCCGATGTGCCTCTGCCCGGAGTCCTGCCCGATGTGCCTCTGCCCGGAGTCCTGCCCGATGTGCCGCTGCCCGGAGTCCTGCCCGATGTGCCGCTGCCCGGAGTCCTGCCCGATGTGCCGCTGCCCGGAGTCCTGCCCGATGTGCCAGTCTTTGATATCCCGCCAGTTACCAGACCCGGGCGGTGGAACATTTTGCCCAGCTAGGACTGTTTGGAGCGTCCTGAGGCCGCTCCTTGAGGGGGGGTACTGTCAGGAATGGACTGGCCAGTAATGGTGGGACTCACCTGCCTTGTGGGCTGCAGTACCAGGGCTGGCCAGCGGGTGCTCCCAGCAATCAGAGACTCAACCCTGCAGCCAAATACCTGAAACTGCTTATGCAGGTGTATTTAAGTGATGGCCAGACCTGCAGTCTTTGCCTTGGTGTGTGTGTTTTTCCTGGGCCCTGTATCTTGTTCCTGCATTCCTGTTCCTGTTCCTGTCTCTGTCTGATTCGTTGCTGACCCTGCCTGATTCCGGACCTCTGCTGACTTCTCCTGTTTCATCCCTGGCTTGTGACCCCGACCATTCTCTGCCTGACCCCCTGTACCTACCTGCCCGATTGTTATTGACCCGGCCTGCCTGACGACGCTTGCATTGTATATATTGTTATCTGTGGGTGGTTTGGTTTGGTTTGGTTCGTTTGCACTGTGTTATGTTTTAGTATTGCACTGCGTTTATGTTTGTATTGTTAGTCTTTAATAAATTGTCTTATTGTTTATAACGTATCTGAAGCCTGCATTTCCCTGTGTCAGTCACATACCTCTGGTCACACCCCCGGAGCCCTGACACATTGGCTGCAAACGTTAAAGACATGATGGTTTTCCAGCATGCCCGTTTGATAAAAACCAGTCCTTGGACCAGCTTCTGCTGGTCAGCCTGCTGTACACATGGACCAAATGTTGGGCGGTTTCTGTTGAACTGGCCAATACCAGCCGATATTCGCCTATGTTTACCAACCTATAGGCACAGCCAAAAACAAAAATAGAAAAACCAGCACAAGGGACATAACTTACAGTTCATAGGACAAAAAGCGCAAGTGTGGATCAGGTCGGCAACCATTATTTTCTGAGCTGGAAGACCTGATCTGTGATTGGGTTGTTGACAGGAGAGCAAAGGCTTTGGTTGTGAATAGGGCTCAGATTCAAGAATTTGCCCTTGCAATTGCACCACAGTTTGACATAGCCCCCGAAGACTTCAAAGCATCACAACACTGGCTGGATAATTTCCTTCAGCGAAGTGAACTGTCTTTAAGAAGATCCACAACATTGTTTAGGCTGGAAGATACTCAAGTTATTAAGCGAGCACTTGCATTCAAGTCCTTTATTGATGATGCTGACTTCTCTAAATACAATCTTTCCAACATGATTGCTATGGATGAAACTGCAGTGTTTATGGGCCAATCATCTCAAACAACAATTGAACAGCGGGGTGCCTCCTTAGTGTACATTTCCTCCACTGCTTACGAAAGTGCACGTGTTTCCTGTATTTTGGCAGTTCGTCTGGATGGCACTAAAATCCCACCTTTAATCATTTCTAAGGGCAAGAAGGAAAAGACTGAACGTGTTTTGGGGGTTTTTATTCTTGAAACTGAAAAAGCCTGGGCCACACAAGCAGTTATAAGGAAGTGGGTCGATTTAATGCTGCCGCTTGTTATGCGAGGAAGCCAAAGAGGTCTGCTAGTCTGGGATGCAGCCAGCACTCACCGCGCTAAAGACATGAAGACATTTCTTCACGAAAGAAAAATAGATCAAATAATGATTCCCGCAGGAATGACGGCCTATCTCCAGATTCTTGATACTGCAATAAACAAGCCATTCAAGGACAATTTGCGCATGGAAATTAATGACTACATTGAAAATAGAATGGAGAGAAATCAACGTGGAAACTTTGTGAAACCTAAACTGCAAGAAGTTGTGACTTGGGTGAAGAATTCATGGGAGAAAATTACTGACAGTTGCATTGCAAATGCACTGCGAGCAGGCTACCTTGACAAGAAGTATTCATTTAAGGACAGTGCTATTGCTAAACATGAGAGATTTGGTCCACTGATTCCGAAAGAAATGGAGTCACAAGAAATTCACCAGGAAATTCAGGGATTGGATTGTTATGATGATGTTCCAGAAGATGATGACATGATTGTCATTGAATAAATGAGTTAATTCTTGATACTGTAGGATTCACAGTTTGTCTGGTTTGTGTTGACAACTACCGTACTACCATACCGTATACAGGTAATAAATTTCCTTTTATTTTCATTTAACAATAAATGTGTACCGTATTCTTCTTCATGGAAAAATAAGACATCCCCTGAAAATAAGACCTAGCGCATCTTTGGGAGCAAAAATTAATATAAGACACTGTCTTATTTTCAGGGAAACAGGGTATCATAAGGGGCTGTCAGCAAGAGAGCCCAACTATACCCACCCTTTCTGCCCAACTGCTCCATTCATAGCCATACTATAGCTTGTATGAAGCTATAATTTCTATGACTATAACACAGTCTATGAATGTAGGAGCAGACCTATCAATCATCTACTCATTATTTTTAGATTTTGTTTCCTTCATTCTATGAATGAAGCAGCTGGATGAAAAGGGCGGGTATAGTCAGTTCTCTTGGTTAGAGCCTGTGACAGATATTAGTTGTTTTTAATCACTGCTGCAGTGGACGATTATGGGTGAAGGGGTGGGGGGAAGCATGGATGGAGGTGGATTTCTACTAACAGAAGAGGAATCAGCACAAAGGACACATCCTACTAACTCTATGTTATGTCCCTGATGTTTCTGTTTTTCATTTTGGCTGCACTTAGGCTTTAAAGTGGTTATAACAGCTCAAGGTTTTTTACCTTCATGCATTCTGTGTGCAGCTCCCCCCTCCCAATTACCTACCTAAGCTCCATCTCGATCCAGCAAAGTGCACGAGAGCCTCGGATTTTCTGAGTCTCTCCGTCCTCACTGGCTGAGGAAATCATCACCAGTGAAAGATTGCAAGGGGCGGGCTGAGCAGCTTCTGTGTATGAATGGACACACACAGCAGCAGCAGCTGGGAGTGAGCCTACTCAGATGCCCCCATAGCAAGCTGCTTGCTGTGGGGCACCTGACAAAAAGGAGGGGTCAGGAACACCAGAGGAGGATTAGGGCTGCTCTGTGCAAAACCATTGCACACAGCTGGTAAGTTTAGCATGTTTGTTATTTTAAAAAAATCCCCCTTTTGAAATCACTTTAAGGTCAAATTATACCATTGTTGGGGAGGCTGAACAGCTAATGCAGAACACCTAATCTAACAGCAGAAAATATCAAATCTAGAACCTCTTTGACAATGCTATTAAAAATTATATTTTTAGAAATGATATTTGAGGTGTTTTGAAAACATCAATACATATAATTAATATAAAAGTACTAAGGGTTTAAAATGCTCCTTGTAAGCATAAAACAAAAAACATACAAGTTCTTGAGTATTAAACAGTATTCCTCACTGTGGACAGATTTCCAATCACTTCTTGTCCCAGTGCTATCCTGTCTCCATTAGGGTTGGGCAATTCTGCTCAGGTTTGATTTGCCAAGGGTCCAGCAAATCTTGTTTGACATTCAGGGAATCTTGGTGACAAATCTCACTGAAGTCTATGCGGTTGTGAATCCAGTTTTAGTTTTCCCATCCCCTTTAGTCAATCATGAATGCTGCTGCCAAACTTTCCTCCACTGGCTTACCCAACAAATACAATTAGAAATATTAACAACATACAAAGCCTACAACAATGTACAGCTCTGCCACAGACTACATCATCAACCTTGTCCTAAATATCACCCAAACCATCCTCACCATTTCTCACAGGACCTCCAGCTTTCTAGCATTCTTGTCACTTCTTTTAAAACAGGGCTTCTCCAGAGTCTCTCCCATGCGCTGAAACAATCTACCCCAACCCTTAGACAATCTATGAAAACTCATCTCTTCAAGGAAGCTTTTTCCCTGCCAGCCTAACAAATGAACTTCTCTTTCTTCATCTCATCCCCACACAGTTTTTTGTGGGTAATTCCATTGTACTGGTGCTCCAAGGCCTTATAAAATGTGATAGGTAGTCAGTAACGAAGGTGTATTTTATGCACCTAGAATGCCTGATGGTGCTACTTGGATGTTGGGCCTCTGTATATGGCCAGGCTGTAAAAAAGTCTCACCATACTCAGGAGGAGTAGCAGAATATGTTTTGGGGTGTAATTGCAAGCATGCATATGCTCTGTGTGAGAAATAACTTATTATGACAATTTTGTGTAAAAAAAAAAATAATTTCTTCATTTTCCCAGGAATGGATGGAACAAATTTAAATTTAAAAAAATTCACCATGCCTCATACTAAATAGCTTGGACTGTCTACTTTCCAAAAAGGGGTCATTTTGGAGGTATTTGTACTTTCCTGGCATGTTAGGGCCTCAAGAAATGAGATAGACCATCAGTGCATCAAGTGTGATCAATTTTCAATGATTGGTACCATAGCTTGTAGACTCTAATGCAGGCCATAGACAGGTCGAAAACCGGCCGTTTTTTAGAAAAAAAAAAAAAAAATCGGTCGTTCAATAGGCCGACGTTACCACCAATGGAAAAAAAAAAATCGGCCGATATTTGTCCCATCTACGGCCGGCATTTAATTACTTCTGTCCCTTGCAGAGAACTCCGCTATTTTATTTGACATGCAAAAGTATTGCGGTTGCAACAATGTATCCATTTCGGATACAGATGTTTTTATTCGGATACAAATAGATACATTGTTGCAACCGCAATACTTTTTTCATGTCAAATATAATAACGGACTGGAATTCCTCTTCTTCTTCTTCTTCCCCA